TGTTCACTCTTGCGGCACCAGCCGCAAGCAGTCGAGCTGGGCCGCTTCCGCCGCAGGACAGCCTGATCGCAGGGTCTGACACAGACGCTGCGGCGGAGGACGGGGTCCCTGAGGGCGGCAGAACTGCCGGGGGGGCCGGTGGGGGCAGCAGGGGCGTGAGAGGTTCTTGGGGAAGCACCGCCGTTGTCTCACTTGGCTCTGGGAGCAGTAGCGCAGGCGCGAGCCCTGTCCCTGCGGGAGGGGTTGGCGGGGGCGGCACGAGGTCGGCCCCTGCCAGCGCTGCCGGCACTGTTGTGAATACAACTGATGGCTGCTATGCAGAAGGAGAAGGCACAGGAGCGGCAGCAGCTTCTGCCCCTGGCTCCGGGATGGGCTGCCGTTGATCGCCGCTGCTGTCGAGTGTGTTGCCTAGCAACACGGAGACAGGCTCTTGTTGATCGTCGCTGCCATCGATCGCGTTGCCTAGGTACACGGGCGAAGCCGCGGGAGGCGGTGCTTCCGCGACCGGAACACCGACAAACTCTGCTGGAAGCAGCAGGGCCGCCAGGGGCGCCGGGGCCGCGGGCGGGGATGCGGGCGGGGCTGAGGGCGGGGCCGTGGGCGGGGCCGCGGGGACTGGCGCCACCTGCGGTGCTGGTTGGGGCGGGGCCTGCGGGGCTGGCTGGGGCAGGACCCACGGGGATGGCCGGGGCGGTGGAGCCAATTCACATCCCCCCTGAGGGCAACGAGGGGGGGAAAAGCGGCTCCGTTCGAGCATGCTCCAAAGGCGCAGAAAAAAACCCTTCCTCGGTTGCGGGCAAAGCCTTGCCCCCTCGCTGCGATGCGAGGGGGCTGGGAACCAGCAGTTTGTGTCCCTGGACAGGTGTCCCTCCTGCTGGGTCCGGCGGGAAGGGAGCACGACCTCTGCAGTCGGCAATCAGCTCCAAGCGCTCCCTTCCTTTCAAAACTTTGAAGATAGTTTTGAATGCTGGATAAATTCGAGGAAATCCAAAATCCTGGTAAAGAGCCTCCCCAAAAATGAATTCCATGCATTCCCATATGTATGAATCAAGGGAATACACCACATCTGTAAAAAATCCATGGAACTTTGTCCATCTGAAAAACTCATAGAAATGTCTCATCACCATAGGAACTCTGTCTTCATGACCCCATTTTTGCCAGAGGGCAATAATTTTTTTCTCTGAGGGAGAGAACGGAACCTCCGTCTCCATAGGCAGTCTCTGCCAAATGTCCACCCACATTCTGCGAAGGGCAGCATTTTCAGGAAGGGAAGAGTTAACAGTACCTTGCGACAGTGTCCTCTGGGCTTCAGCAGGCTGCTCTGTGCTGTGAAGGGTTCCAGACATTCTGTCTGGGAGACTTTTCAAAAGGTTCTCTTTGTGGCCAGCCCTGGCTGTGAACTCTGTCCAACTTCAGGGTCTTCGGTTCTTCAGCTCCAGGCTAGAAGCCACTTCCATGGTCACTTGTGTAGTGACCATCAATGCCACACACTCGGGGTTCACTCAGTGTAGCAATGCTCCTCTGGGGTCTCACCAAATGTGGACTTTTTCCTCACTCAGGGTCACCAAATGTGGTGGGAATTTTTCATCACTCGAGGTCACCAATTGTGGTGGTGTTCACAGGGGGCCCAGGAAGAAGGAAGAGATGAGAATGTTGACTCCATGTTTCAGAAGGCTGGTTTATTATTTTATGATATATATTATATTAAAACTATACTAAAAGAATCAAATAAAGGATTTCATTAGAAGGCTTGAAAGGAATAGGAATGGAATGACAATAAAATCTTGTGACTGACCACACAGTCTGAGACAGCTGGACAGTGATTGGCCATTAATTATAAACAACCACATGAGACCAATCAAAGATCCACCTGTTGCATTCCACAGCAGCAGATAATTATTGTTTGCATTTTGTTCCTGAGGCCTCTCAGCTTCTCAGGAGAAAAAATCCTAAGGAAAGGATTTTCCATAAAATGCATCTGTGACAGATTTCCTTGGAGGAAAGTGGAAAAAAACTGTTTATTTAATAGGCAAAGCATTCACCAGCACAAAAAATGAACAATATTAAACAATAAAACCTCTTCCCAATCTGAAGAGATGACAAACTCAGAAAGTCCTTTTTGTGGATTGCAGCTCAGCTCACCCAGTCTGTTATCAGTCCCTCTGGTGCTGGAAATGCCATGGCCCAGGCCTGGCCCAGTGGGCCACAGGTGCGAGCTCCCGGTGTTCTTCTGGGTTTTCAATCCAGAGCAGGTTTAATCAGTTCCAAGAAAAAGAAAAACCACAGTCCAGGGAACTTGTCTGCCTCAGCTAGCTAAAAGCTAACTAAAAGCAAAGGAAAGCTCTTTCCCGCCATCTGTCCATGCTGCAGACAACACAGTCCAGGAGAAGGATGCGGGGGAGCAAGTGCAGTTTCTGATAACAAACACCGTGCTTCTTCTCTCTCCCCCCTTGGCTCTCAGAACCAGTCTTAAAGGTGCAGAACTTATTATCCAGCATAAACAGAACAGATGATTTGGTATGCAAGCATCATAAAGTCACCCCAGGACACCTGACTAGAAAAGAATGGTGGAAACATCCTATTGTGACTGGGCCAGAGGCCCTGTGCATCCTTGGCATAGATTACCCAAGGACAGGGTATTTCAAAGACCCAAAAGGGCATTGTTGGGATTTTGGGATAGCTACTGTGGAGACAGAGGGAATTAGACAGCTGAGTACCTTGTCCAGTCTCTCAGAGGACCCTTCTACTATGGCACTCCTACGGGGCAAAGAACAATGAGTGCCAATTACTACCACTACAGTGCACTGTCAACAACACTGCACCAATTGGGACTCCGGGACTCCCATCCACAGATGATTTATGGAGAGGCAGGGAGTGGTCAGCAAGACTTACTCACCCTTCAATATCGCCATATGGCCAGTGCCTAAGTCCAATGGAGAGTGGAGACTGATAGTGGACTATCATGACCTGAACAAAGTCACACCACCACTGAATGCTGCCATACTGGACATGCTGGAGCTTCAGTATGAACTGGAGTCCAAGGCAGCAAAGTGGTGCCACCATCAATATTGCTAATGCATTTTTCTCCATTCCTTTATCAGCAGAGTGCAGGCCACAGTTTTCTTTCACCTGGAGGGGTGTCCAGTACACCTGGAGCCAACTGCCCTAGGGGTGGAAATATAGCCCCGCTATTTGCCATGGACTGATCCAGACTACACTGCAAAAGGGTGAGGCTCCAGAACACTTACAGTACATCGATGACATCATCCTATAGGGCAACACAGCAGAGGAGGTTTTTGAGAAAGGGGAGAAGATAATCCAAATCCTCCTGAAAGCTGGTTTTGCCATAAAACAATGGGAGCCCTACATTGGGGAATACCGTTCCTAAACCATGACAGTCACACCCTGTTTGCCTACCTTATTTGCCCCACTCCTGGCTGCTTCTTGGGTACGTCTTTTGTACCTGTGGGGGTTGGTCACCTTCACTCCTGGCACTGCCCACACTGAGTTAGAGCTGCTGCTTATCTAGCTTTTAACACTTCCTGCTCTGGCTGAGGCTGGTGTGCCCTCTGTGTCTCTGAGCTAGGTTCACAGTTTTGCTGGTTTTTGGAAAGCTCTCAGCACGATCCTCCACTCCAGAGCATGTCTGCCAGAGCAGTTTACCTCGGAGACATATGATGATGCATCACATGCATGAGGGACAGGGCATGGAGGTCTTGGTCAGTTTATCATTCGAGATCTTTTTCTGTTCACTCAGGGAGAGGAGCCTTTTCTCTGCTATGCTGTGGAGTCCCTCCCATGGGCAGTTTTTCCAAAACTGTTGTGGCATGGGTCACTTGTCCACAGGCTGCAGTCTTCTAAGGCTAGGCTGCTCTATTTTGTGAGCAAGGGCCCTCTCTCTCTATTTGGGTCTCCCACTAGATTACAGCTTTCTCTGGCATCCACCCACTCCAGTGTGAACACTTTTCTCATGGGCTACAAGTGAATGTCTGCATCCCCCATAGACTTCATGCATTACAGGGGGACAGTTTGTTTCACCATAGTCCTCACTACGGCTTGCAGAGGAATCTTGGCTCTGACACTTGGAGCATTTCTTCCCCCTCTTTCTTTTCCACTGACCTTGGTGCCATCATGTTGTTTTCTGTCACATGTCCTTACTTCCTCCTAGGAAGAAAAACTTCCTACTAGAAGAAAAACTGCTGCTTGTAGGTACCATTGCAAACAAGTTCCACTAATTCAAAGATTCTTGCAGGATCCTGCAGTGCCAAGAAGCTGATTTTATCCAGGTTCTGCATCAGAGAGTTGCCTATCACATTTTCAGTTGGCCATGCAGCCCCACCGCCACCATGCGTGCAGTGGCGGCTGTCACGGTGCTTGCACTATTTAACGCCTCTCTTCATGCAGGGCGCTGGGAAGGAGAAGCCGCCACCATCGCCTCTGCCCTTCTACCTGCAGCGTGGTTGGCTAGGGGCAGCCAGGCAGGCAAAGATTGCCGCAGTCTGCACTGAGATGGTGGAAGCCGCAGCAGCGGCCACAGCGCCTCCCCACCCCTGGGGAAAAAACCTGCTTGTGCGCTGTTTTGATTTTCTTCTTAAATATGTCATCACAGAGGCGTTACCAACCTCTCTAATTGGGCAAGCAGCATGTCTATCTTCAGAGCCATCAGAAATTGGCTCTGTTGGACATGGTGGGAGCTTCTAGCAGCTTCTCACAGAAGCTACTCCTGTGCCCCCCCCTCCCCCCCCCGGCTACAAAAAAAAAAAAAAAAAGGCTAAAAAAAGGCAAAAAAGGCTATGCCAAATCAACACAGCACTCCACGTAGCATATTACAGACTTGCAGCACAGTATTGCATTCTGTGTCATTTAGTAATTGTGAGAACAGGGATGTCCCAAAATTAAGAGTATTGTTTAGAAACCATTAGATGATTAGATGCTCTGAAGCACTAGTCATTCTTTTTATAAGGTAAACTATCCTATATTTCTGGTGTTTTTGTTTGTAGGTACAGCAAGTACAGACTGTGCAACAGGTACAACATGTCTACCCAGCCCAGGTTCAGTATGTGGAGGGAAGTGACACAGTCTACACAAATGGAACAATGTAAGTTGGTTATTCATCTAAATTAAAATGTTTACTAAAATAATGCACTTTTCATGACATCATATGGGCTGCTATGTTTGAATTAGCAAAGAAAAATGTTTGAACAAAAACTTTATTTTTTGTCATATTAAATCATTATTTGAGTGAAAACAAGTAAGATTCATATCACTTGAATTAATCTAAAATGAATTCAGGTAATTGTTACAGTTGGACAGTGTGAAGCTGTATATGCAGCATTTTGTTGTTTGGGGAAAAACTTGAGTTTATGGACAAGTTATGCTGATAGGAAGTATGATCTAAATTTGTCATAATATGATCATCTGTGTAATAAAGTAGTCTCCATGTGGGCCTCTATTCTTCTAGTTGAAATTTTACTGGGAAGTTCCTAAATTGCTGAGGCAGCTGTAGTCATTACTTACAGAAAACAATTATATAATTTCTTTATTGTTTTAAGTGCAATGATATACATATTATTTTTTCCAAATGAAGGAAGGTAGAAGAAGGAGAATATGTCCTTTTGGTTCTCTCTCAGACTCCTCTATTTACTGTGCTTTTCTTGCTTCAATGAACATGGTTTTCTACCATCAAATTCCTTTCTCCCATGTTCAAACTTAAAATAGAATAATTTAGGTCAAAGGAGACCTCTAGAGGTTATATGGTAAAACCCACACACACAGTCAGAGTAGGACTAACTTCAAAGTTGCTCAGGAAGAACCTTCCCTCCTTCTTTTTCCAGTTAAGTCTAAATATATCCCCTGAAACTTCTGATATAAGGTTATGGAAGAAGCAAAAGGCCTGTAGAAGACTTTTTTGGTGCCAGCAAATGTCCATTGATGATAATCTGGCATTGACACAAAAAAGTCAACAACACTATTGGGTTCTGATGCTGATGTTAACACTTGCAGCATCCTCTTCACAGACATATTTTGCCAAATTTATTCTTCTGATAAACTTTTTCAACACTCTTGTTCCCTTATTTTCTTTACTCTTATAATATCTAAGCAATCTTCTGTCATAAATGGGTCTGTTAAGACATGCTTATTATTAAGAATTACCAATGTGTCCCTGTTTAAGATACTGTAAAAATGGAAAGTTGCTCCTCACATTGTTAAACTGTAATCGAAGACTGAAAATATCTCTGTAGAATGTCTGATCAGGCTAACTTCTATTTGAAAAATGTCAGCTAAAGACACTGAACTGTTGAGACAAAAGAAAACATATTTCTTCATCCACATTTGTTTTTCTTTTAAAAGCTCTAGTGCTTCTCCTCTTTAAATTATGGGCAGTGATATTGGGAATGTGTAGTTTATTGCAGTTCATGGCATTTTACCTGACTTTATAGCTCAAATATATCAAGCAGAGGATTGTTTGTTTTATCCTGTTTATATGTTAATTGCTCCAAAGACCAATGGATGTCCTCCAGATGACCCTAAATGGGGTATTTCCTTGCACCTGCTGCTTTTGCTATTAATTATCTGAACTCTGGTTTCTAGTACCCAGTCTATTAACAAAGAGTCTATTCCATTCCATATACAGGGCCTAGGATATATGGTTGAAGGAAGTTATCCTATTAAAACAGAGAAAGGAGCAAGTACTAAACCTATGGTGAGAATGGAAAATGTTCTATGACAAGTAACATGGATATTCTTTCATTCTCTTTTTTTGGTCATGTGCTAGCTTGATTCTAATGCAACCCTTAAGACCTCCCAAGAGATCACTTGCTCATGAAAACAGCAACTAGGCCCAGTCGGTGAGGAAGAAAGGAAAACATGAGTTGTCTGATTCAGAATAGTGAAACTGTGATCGAGTGAGCAGGAAAGGGTTCTGGTCTTAGATAAAGAGCTGATGGAAGCCAAGAACCAGTGGGTGGAAAGAAGGAAGTCTGGTGGCAGACATAGAAATCTAACAAAATGTCAAAATGCATGGGAAAAAGAACTTTAAAAAGCAAAACAAAACAAAAATAAAAGTACTGACTGGATAAACAGCCCAGAAAAATTGTCTCCATACAGGAGATGATGCCTATATTTTCCCTGGTGTAACTCCTTACAATTTTATTTGTAGATAGCACCTTAAAAGGCTATGGAAGGAGGAGCTGGCTGATGTGACATAGCTCATAGTCCTATTTCATCCACCAGTAAGCTGTATTTTAGTATGGCTGATAATTTACCATAGAAAAATTTATGCCATAAGGGACTTCCAGCGGTTATCTAGTCCAACCCTCTGCTCAAACTAAGTCTAATTTGATCAGGTTGCTCAGGGACCTGTCCCATAAAGTCATGTACAGCTCCAGGGATAGAGGTTGTGTACACCTCCAAGGATAGGGGAGGTTCCTGAGTGTAGCAGCCACAGGGCCTGCAAGGCCTCCCTGGCAGTCAGTTGCCTAAGATAAGAAATGCCTAGTTACAATGACTGGACCAAGAGACCCCTCTTCCACCTCAGACCCTTGTTATCTCTCTGTAAGACAATAGGTCATATTTACCTCAACCCTTACTATTGGACTGTTCCCCAAAACCCACATACCCTATCTAAACCCCTTCCTCTGCCCAGTTCGGCAGAAGAGCTGTCACTGTCACCCTTCGCAGAGGCTGCCAATAAAGACACATCTGTGGAACCTCATACAGCCTTCTCCTCTCTCATCCCTGCGTCTGCTGAGGCATTTAGCAAGCAAAGAGCTGCAATTGCTAAAGAGCTGAATTCACCAAAGAGCTGATCTCATTTAAGAGCTGAGCTGCTTGCTAAGATTGCCTGTGGCTGGGAGCCTGCCTGAGGCACCTGGACAGGTTGTGCTTAGCGGTACTCCTCTATCCAGGACACTGATGGCTGACAGGGTTAGACAGACCCCAAGAACCCCGTCGTTATACCTGAGGACCAGAAGAAAGCAAATGACACTTCAATCTTCAAAAAGGGCAAGAGGAAGGATCTGGGGAAATACAGGCTGGTCAGCCTCACCTCTATTCCTGTGAAGATGATGGAAAAAATAGTCTTGTAAGCCATTTCCTGGCACACAATGGACACAGGGTGATTTGGAGTAGTCACCATGGATTTGCAAAAGGCAAATTATGCTTGGCCAACCTGTAAGCCTTCTGCAAGTCAACTAGCTTTGGTGGATGAGGGGAGAGCAGCAGAAGGCTTTCAACGCTGTCTCATATAACATCATCATAGACAAGCTGACAAAGTGCAGGTTAGATAAGTGGACAGTGAGGTGGACTGAAAAGTGGCTGAACTGCTGGGCTCAGACAGTTGTGATGAGAAGCCTAAAGTCTAGCTGGAGGTCAGCATCTAGTGGTGTTTCCCTGGGCTGATCCTTGGGCCAATACTGTTTAACAACTTCATTAATGACCTGAACAATGTGACAGAGAGCACCCTCAGCAAGTTTTCAGATGGTACAAAATTGGGAGGAGCGTTTGATAGACCAGATGGCTGTTGTGCCTTCAGAAGGATCTCAACAGACTGGAGAAATGGGCAGACAGGAACCTCATGCAGTCTATCAAAGGGAAATGACAAGTCCTGCCCCTGGGTAGGAATAACATGATGCACCAGTACAAGGCAGGGGCTGACTGGCTGGAAAGCAGCTTTTCAGCGAAGGACATGGGGGTCCTTGCGGAAAATAAGCTGAATGTGAGCCAGTAATGTGCCCTTGCATCAAAGGAGGTCAATAGTATCCTGAGCTGCATTAGGAACAGGGTTGACAGGAGATTGAGGGAGGTAAACCTTCGTCTCTACTCAGCACTGGAGAGGCCACATCTGTAGTACTGTGTGCAGTTATGATCTCCTCAGTACAAGAAAGTCATGGAAATACTGTAACAAGTTCAGCAAAGAGCCACTGCAGCGATGAAAGGACTGGAGCATCTCCTACAGGAACAGATGGTGGAAGAGCTGGGACAGAATCATAAAATCATAGGATCAGTGAAGTTGAAAAAGACCTTTAAGATCATTCAGTCCAAGTATTAACCTAATACTGTGGTCTAGCACTAAGCCATGTCCCTAAGTGCCTTGTCTTTATGCCTTGCCAAATGCCTTCAGGGATGTTGACTCAGGATCACAGAATCACAGAATAGGTAAGGTTGGAAGGCACCACAGTGGGTCATCTGCTCCAACCTCCCTGCTCAAGCAGGGTCAGTCCACAGCACATAGCACAGGATTGTGTCCAGACAGTTATTGAATATCTCCAGTGAGGGAGACTCTACAAGCTCTCCAGGTAATATTCTTGTGCTTGGTCACCCACACAGTAAAGAAGTTCTTCCTCATATTCAGGTGGAACTGCCTGTGCATCAGTTTCTGCCCATTGCCTTTTGTCCTATTGCTTGGCACCACTGAGACCCTGGCTTCATCTTCTTGGCACCCTCCCTTCAGATACTTATAGACACTGATGAGGTGCCCTCTCAGACATCTCTTCTTGAGGCTTAACAAGCCCGACTCCCTCAGCCTATTCTCATAAGAGAGATGCTCCAGTCCCTTAATCAACTTTTTAGCCCTTTGCTGGACCCGGTCCAGGAGGTCCATGTCTCTCTTGTACTGAGGAGCCCAGAACTGGACACAGCACTCCAGGTGAGGCCTAACCAGGTCTGAGTAGAGGGGCAGAATCACCTCCCTCCACCTGCTGGCAATGCTCTTCCCAATGCACCCCAAGATACCATTTGCCTTCTTGGCCACAAGGGCACTGCTGGTTCATGGGCAGCTTGTTGTCCACCAGGACCCCCAGGTCCTTCTCTGCAGAGCTGTTTTCCAGCAGGTCACCCCCAGCTTGTACTGGTGCCTGGGGTTATTCCTTACCAGGTGCAAGACTGTGCACTGGCCTTTGTTGAATTTCAGACAGTTCTTCTCTGCCCATGTCTCCAATCTGTTGAGGTACTTCTGAATTGCTGCACATCTCCCTGGAGTATTGGCCACTCCTCCCAGTTTGTCAGCAAACTTGCTGAGGATGCATCTACCCTGTCATCCAAGTCATTGATGAATAAGTTAAACAATACTGGCCCCAGTATTGAACCTTGGGGGACCCC